TTTTTTGATGCTTCCCAGAATTACTGGCACTCTGATTACAATATCCTGTTGGATGGATACCATGAAAGCTGCTAGCTTTGGTAACTATATCTAAAATGTAGAGAATGTAATATAAAGCAGTTTACTGAGGGGAGGGGGCCTGGACTTTAAACCAATAATAATTTTATATGAACTGGGAATTCTTACCAACTTACTTACTTTTTCGTATTACCTTATTCATTTATATTTAACCGAAACATTATACCACACACATTTTATGCCATTATGAATTAGGAATGGTTGTGTTCCAAAAGTTTTAGATAGGACTGATAAAAAACTTCATTTTCTTTATAAAATAAATAAAACGTGTTTAGAAAAACCTTCAGCCACACTAAGACACAATTAATGTAACTAAGTCTCACATTCCCTGTTGAAATAATCAGTTCAGCATGAATACAATAAACAACTTAGAAAATATTTTCCACTACTCCATCAAAGGAGCATATTCTCAGCATCCTCCAGAAAACATACAGTATAATTTCTCTATGATATTTCTATATGATGTAACTATACTTGTTCTTCTTCCCCTACAATGTAAGGAAATAGCAGTACCCTAAACAATCATTCACACTAGAGAAGTTGTTCCTTCCTGACCTCCTTCCACCAGTTTAACCAGTTGTTCCAGGCTGCACATAGCCTCTCCACCTAAATTTTGTTAAAATACATTCTACTGATACAGGATGATTTCTTTGTCTCCCTAATCACACACAGAACTATATGAGAAATGGGCATGAAAATATCCATGTCCTGCCTGCTACAGCGAGAAAGCACATGGTGATCACCCAGCCTAGCACCGTATTTCCTCACTTTGGCTTCTTGTTACACCCACTGACTGGGTCTTCCTGGAAAGGACCACCACTCTTAGCTGTCCTTGAGTCAGTACAAGTCAGCAGCTCTGGGGCTTCCGAAGGCAAGTGGTTTATTATCAGGACACGGTCAGAAGAACCATATTCAAATGAAGCAGAAACATGAAGACTGACACGGGAACACTATCTTCTGACATGTACCGCTGCTGAGAAGTGGCTGAGGGATGAGGGAGCTTCTGAGGGACAGCCAGGAGGCCCCTCTTCAGGATCTAGCCCAAAGTCAAGCCCTCGGGTTTCTAGTAGGGGATGAAGTTGGAGGGCTTTTGTTGTCTGCCCTGACATTTTTTGACACACACATTTTTATTTTAAAAACAACCCTGAAAATTATTCCAATCAAATTTACATTAGTTTCACTCTCACCTTGCCACATCCAGTGCTGCGGAGTTACTTTGGATGTATAATAGTGTTAAATAAAATCATGCTCTATTCGGGGGCTGCTGAAATCAATGTTTTTCTATTAGAGGATTGGTACACGGTTTATTTCCATCCATTATATTCTCTGCACAGCAATAGCAGGCTCTCAGTTAGGACATGAACCCCAACCACTTATTAGTTCATGGCTGGAAGCCATCAGCTCCACATTATACAAAATCCCCGCTTCATCACTGCCTCTCTCCATCCTCACACCTTTCAACTCACGTATCTGAGGTAAATTTAAAGTAAAGCAGTGGGAAATCAGAACCAAAGTTTCTACAGTGAGTTTTACTGCATTTTACTACTTTCTTTTCATTCCTTCAAACCCTTAAAAAAAAAGACCTATTTTCTTCTGGGTTTTTTCCTTCAAAGATAATAGTACAGACTTCAACAATATCTCTCCCAAAAAGGAAAACTCCTTGAACCTTGACTTTCAGTCCTACTACACATAATGAGACAACTACTTAAACTGCGTTTAAAAAGTGCTGAGTAGATGAACTCAATGCCTAATGATGTTACTCAGCTTGTCGGCAGCTGATTGACACTAAAAGTAATAAATTAGAACAGAAAATGATTTTACAAGATCCCTGGGATGACAGACAGGCTAAGTGTAATATCCTCCATTACAGTTGTCACTAGATTTTATACAGTTCAGATCTGAACAGCCTCGGCAGGAAAGTGGAACAATTTCATGAGATAGATCTTCAGATGATGTAGAGTAGCATAAATCCTCTGAAGTTAAAGCTATCCTGATTTATGCAGACAGGGATCTGGCTCTATATCTTTATACATGTTTCTACTCAAGTATTGGAATGAAATCATTTGTTTTCCCATGCAAATCTGGGCAGAGAAAAGCAGAAACCCTGTAAGAGAGGAATGCTGAAGGCTGATGTCTTGGCTGTGTTTGATTCTATCCCCCCTCCTCCTTTTAAAAGGACAGAAAACAGTATTTAGAGCATGGCATCACTGATTTTGTTGGCTGCCTTCATTTCAGGGAATCCCACTGTAAATCCACAGCTCTGCAGAAGCACCTTTTGAATCATTAGCATTCACTGTCAGAATCCTTTGTAACATGTTAGGATGTGTAAAAGCAAGACAAAAGGCAAGCATGTGGATACTCCACCAAGCTCAAAAAGCCATTATGCCATTATTGTTTGGGGTTAATGAAAAGAAAGAATAAAAATGTGTATTTGAGCTCTCACTATCTGTAAAGTCTAAATGACCGGTCTGATTTTGGGGAGTTTTTTGCTGCTGTTTTTGTAAGCTTCCATTCATAAAACTTTTCTTTAGAAGAAAACATAGTCTCTTCATGTACAGTTTATTCCAACCTCAAGGATGACTGTGGATTATTTTAATTCTGCTTTATTTAATGAGCTCTTCTAATGCAATGATTTTCTCCATGGAAGACCTTAACCACAGTAGCCATTTGCAGCTGATGAATTTTTTTTTTTTTTTTATAAATAATTTATAAAGCCATTGCAGACTTATACTTTTACACTGAGAGAAAGGGAAAAGGGGGGGGAGGGGGGAGGGGAAGAGGATTGCATCTTAAACTCTATTTACAAATTTACCTTGGCAGGCCCTCTTGCTGCCAATAGGAAGCCATGTTGCATATTTAATTTGCTCTTTTGTTACGACGGGGCTTAGGTTAGTTAATTTCAATTTTCGATTTCAAAAGCTATCAAATATGGCTCAGATGAGAAATCAATTTTTCTCAGCTGCCTCTGTTTTTGTGATGGGGAGGTTTCCCATTGGCGAGAGGACAGCCACGTGACACGGCAAGAGATTAGTTCACTAGACCCCGTGTTTCAGCCACCTCAATTACTGGCTGCCTCTTGTAATTTAGCCTTATAACACCTAATTTCAAGATAGAACTCATATTTAATTCATGAAAGCTTCCACAAGAGTAATTGTGAAATAAATTGCCATAGAAAATATCCATTTGTGACTCGTTTTAATTTTGTATGCTACTAGCACGCTATTTGTTCTACTTGTTTAACACTTTAGCACAAACATATTTTATATTGAACTTTATGGACTGCTAATAGGTTATTATTTTTCACTGTTTCCCCTTCACGGACACACCACTGAATGTCCTTCTCCTTCATGCAGCTCTGGGTCTAGTAACATTGAAATAGATGTGCTAAAACACAGAAACTTGTAATCTCCTAATTATTGAATGGATTGTTATGATCTGTTCATAACTTTAAAAGTAGCAGATAAAATCACAAGTGATGGTTTGTAAATGGTAGTTAGATGACAAGGATCATTTAAAGGGCCAAGGAATAAATACAGTTTAATTTCTGTAATGTTTTAAACAAACCCATTCATTACACATATTGATGTTTCATGATAACAGTGGTATATGTATTTTTAATTCTTTAACCAAAATAAATGTTTCCACTGTATACACACCATTTTGTCCTTTTCCTCCCTGTTGCTATGACAACAAGGTGGGTGAGGCCTCCTCAACTGCCAAACTCAGCTGTCATCCCTTCACCCTAAAAGCCTTATAATTGCTTTTATTTGCATACGACAATTAGGCAGGATGGCTCACAGCAAGAAAACCAACCTTTCTCTCCCCCAGTGCACACAACGCCAGCCTGTAATTTATAAAAGATACACGCCATGTGGTGGAGCACTAAAATAGAGTGATGAGTCCTTTCATCTGATTGTAAGCTATTAACAAAAGAAAACATCCCCTTTCAGGCTGTAAAAAATGCCTATCTGGTGTGAACCTGGAGAAAAAAAAAAAAAAAAGAGTGGGAAAAAAGAAAAAAGTTTTGCCTCCTCCATGCAAACCCTTCACATTCATTATCACATTGAACTCAGCAAAAGAATTTGAAAGCAAGAGTTACATTTTGGTGCTTTATGAACAAAGGAGTGCCAGAAAAATTGATGACATGGTAAAACTGGATCTAGATTTTTGTTCTTGGATTACGTCACACCCAGAGATGCCAACATGAGATGATAGCTGCTAGCCAGCTTGCTGAAAGTGCTGCAAGAAAAGCATGAGATGGTTCAGGATGTCAGATGAGGACAGCTGCACAAGAACCTAGAATTACATTATTTTTAATAGCTCTATTTGAGGAAAATACCTGTATTACACAAAGTGCTTAAGCCTGTGCTTAAAGTAAAACACGCCTGCTTAAGTTAGGGCCTAAATGCCTTCACAGTTTATTCATATGAAGAATCAGCATCCAAGTAAATGTTTTTATGCAAGTTGTTTAACAACGTGATGCTGGTTTTAACTTTCATAATTACAAAAGTATCTTTCTCTAAGGAAACCAGTTAAGCAACTCCTCTACAATAACCTCCCCTCCTTTCTACTGTCTTCTGGAAGCTCTTCACGCAATATTTGTAATACCTGAGCTGCTTAAGTATCTCCAAACCTCAAGAATCCCACAAAAAACCCACCCTTCCTTTGACAGATTTTACATCTACAATCTCACTGGTAAAAGCACAGCATGCTAAATTTAGAATTCAAAAAACAAAGTGGATTTGGGGAAAAATATGGGATTTGATATTGGGAAAATGAGGAAGCAATAACAATACAAAAAAGCAATCCATTCTCTTCCTGCTGTACAGCTAGCTTGATCTAAAAATAAACTGGCTAATACATTACACTGGCATTACAGCACACACATTTTTAAGCCTCTCTGACTTACCTTCCTCAGAACAGCATCCCTGTTGAAACTGGGAAGACTACATAAAGGAGTAAAGCAGAACAGATCTAGCCTGGCTCGAACATGGGAGTGATTTGTTGTCTCACTGCAGCTACCTTTGTGACCTGACATTAATGAAGAGGATGAGTCGGGAGCAGAGCTTGCAGGTATCTCCTTCAACTTTGCCCACCTTATTGCTCTAAACTCCACTTTAGCACATGAGATTTACGCAAACCAGTTTCAATGAGCATGTGAAAGAGGGGGGGAAGTTTGGAGGAGAGAGTGGAAAAGAGAACAGGGGGATGTTTGTGCATGGGACATGCACTGCCAAGTCCTCTCGTGCCCTTCCTTTCTCATTAGCTCAGGCAGGTACTCAGAAAACATAGCACACAACTTCCAGCCACACTTCCCAGCTTTTATCTGTACAGGGAAGCAAGAAAAAGTCAGAACACAAGTTTCTCAGTACAAAGCTTGAACAACCACCAATTTTTGACAGTGCCCTGGACTGGCAGTAGATTCAACTCATGGCTTTGCCACTGATCCATAGGCTGAATCCCAGCAAATCACAATTCACAGACTTTAGTTTACATGGTTGCTCATACTCGATATTGGTACTTTTTTATGAAGTCGTGCAAAGGACAGGAACATCAACGAATTAAATCAGCACAGGATTTTTTCCTAGTGAGATTTACTAATATTTTGTCCATTTTGGCTTTACAAGATCCAAATAGCATATTTATCCATCAAGCATGCATACTCTACCCTACCTGGACTTGACCTGTTTGTCTTAAATTTCAGTACAGTATATTCCTCTTCTAACTCTGTGTTTCTCTAAGTGTTCACCTTATTGTTCTTAGTATCCTGTTGCCAGTCTCTATGTTTGAGAAGTATGTTGGAGTCTCAAGTAAGATCCTCAAAAACCGCAATATATAATTTTACGGTTTAGGTATTTTTTTAAATGAGCCCTTTCTCATCCCCATCTCCCTATTGCTATTACAAAGTCAGTTGAATTCATTTATTGATTTGAATATGAATGGAGGAGAAATTTGTGCGTCTATATTGGAACAATTTTTCATTGCATACTTAATCTCAAAACCATGCTGTAGCTGAATTAATCCTTTTAAATGTCTGGAGCCAAATTCTTACCTGGGATAAATAAATATATTATTCCTTTTGGCTTCAGACCTGAAATTGGCCCATGATCTTCACAAGACAGAAAAACTTTACTATAAAAGCACATTATGAAAGTAAAGTAATAATTCAGGGCTTCACTAGGATCAGAGGGAAGTATTATTTCCTGCTCCATAAAAGACATGTACTTTTTACACAATGAGGCTTGTTTTGAGCAAAGTGAGTTTTTGCTCTGCGCTTAATAGTCCATAGAACCTAAAAATAGTAAGATTTCTTAAAACGCAGAAGTAGGACAAGATTTAAATGAAGCTTTGGCAGGTTTTTTAGTTTTAGTGTCCTCACTCCCCATTTTTCAAACGCATGGACTTGTGTAAAGAAAAGCAAGCCATGAACAACTAGCAAAAAGTTTACAAGAGGAAGCTTCCTCAGGATGGTCCTAACTTCCACTCCGACCTCTTACATGGATTTTATGTCACTATTGGCTGTTGCATTCAATAGAAACACTTACAGTACAACCACAGTAACGCAACGCTGTTCATCACATTCACATAAGAATTAAAGCTTAATATACTTCTCTCTTACAGCACCCAAATCTCCTTTGCTACCTACATGGAAAAGGCTGTAGCTTTGCTGAAGTTGCTACAGTTTTCCATCAATATAAATCAGAGTAGAATTTGTTCCAAAGTGAATACAATATATAAAATACAATTGATAGTCATATCTAACTGTGCCAAAAGTGCAGAGTTGTCTGCATTTCTTTAACTTCCTTATGGGAATATGCTGGGGGTGTTTTCAGACTTTTTTTTTTTTTCTTTTAAAAAATTCTCCATATATAGGATAGGAAAAGGATTTGAATGTCAAGAACAGACTTCTGCTATGGAATAGTATCTTATTTTGTGACAGCTACTGACAGGGTGACATCATAAGATATAGGAATAAGGTATAAAGATAAATGTTACTGGGAAGATCCATATATTCAGACCTCAATTTCTAATATTAATCTTAAAAGTTAGGTTCACTTTTTTTCTGTCCTTCTATTAGTGGTGGCTCCTAAAAGCAAACTGAACCAATTGAATTTTGTACTCACACCAAAGAAACACATTAATATGTAGAAGAAAAAAAAGAAGGAAAGGAAATATAATTGATAAAAGCTGTGAATACCAATAACTGATACCTCAAAAATGAAATAAACTTTTAGGAAAAAAAATTACTAATGTCCCTATACATATCTAATTGACCTTTAGTAATTGAACAAGTCCAAAGTGAATTAATTTTACTTCATTTATATGAACAGGTTAAGATGCTTCTCTGGTTCCAAATGCCTGTATGGCAGGGACAGGTTTGCAAGTTTTCACCATTTTTTCTATTGAGATAAACTATAAAAAGTTGCTCATTTGGGATATCATGCAGTACACACAGAACTGCTTTTTGAACTTCAAACTAAACTGAGAACACCTTCAGGTATTTTCTTATCCACGTTTATTTTGTAGGCAGAAAGACCTAGTTCAATTTATAAGAAGAAATTTTCTGCTATTCCCACAGACTACAGAGGAGGTAGGATCAGGCTCTCACTGATGTTTTGGTTATTGCAACAGAAAAATGCCACTAAATAATCTTTCATGCAGACGTTATACAGCAGTTCACTGTACTTTAATCCATCTCCTTCTACTTTTTTTATTTCCAATAAAAGGAACAATGCACACTCGACATGAACTCTAAGATTTAAATGAAGCTTCATGTGTGCTAATATTAGAGAGACATTAATAATAAATTGGGAAGCAGGCAAGCCTAAGATGATTTCTGACTTGGTTTTGTACCTCAGACACTAGAACTTGAACTGCAGAGTTTGACACTGACACTTTTTAGGAAACAAAGTCTCTCTCCTACTACATCCTCCACCCCCCAATTCAAATCTCATCTGAGAAGTGCTGAAATGAAGCTGTCACTCAGGCCTGCTCAGGGACCTGTCAGCAAAACATTGAGCCTTTTCATTTTGATGGGTCAGCCTGCAATCCCCTTGAAAGAGAAGTCCGTGCCACTGTGGTTTTTCTTTCTGCAGGAATTCTGAATTCTAATGAAACTCCAAATCGCTCAATAAAGGCAGGGGCATGGGGAAGTAATCCAACCCAGATCGGAGTGAAATTTGTATTTTATCTTTTTTTCCCCCAGACCATTATTCTAATAGCATTCACAAAGGGTTGTGGGTTTTCTCTTCTCTACCCCCCCCTTCCTTTTTTTTTTTTTTGCAGGGCAGGCGCAAACGGAATGAGGTGTCCTTTGTCTTGATGCTACACTGAGATTAGGTAGCGGCTCTCTGAAAATGAAAGGGCATGGCTCAAATTTTCTTGGGTAAATATCCATCCACCTATTGCAGTCTGCATCTCCTCTGCTACAAATATCTCTAATGTATGACTGTGTGGAAAGAAAAAGAAAATTTCACATTAGCATTTCTTCCCCAGAAGAAACAGTCTTTCATTAACACTGTACAAAGCTTTTTCAATCCAAGAAGGAAAATTGTAGCTTTCTCTTCCTCTCTGTTCTCCTCAACTTTTCCTTACAGATTAGTTACTACCTATGACTGATATCAGGATGGAGGGGAGAGGATGCAGGGAGTGAGAAAATAATTTATATAATATGTTGATGTATTCACTTTAAAGTGGCTTTATTAACACACATGTTTTATGTTTTTAAAATATGTATGAATTCAGTAGCCTTTTTATGTTTCCTCACATTGAAGGATGTTTATTTTAACAAGGAGATAATTGTATTTTGCTAACTGTTAAAAATTTAGAATCATTAGAGAAGGTATAGGCAACCTTAACAGACAGAATATATGGCATGATCAGTGCTATAGCCTAGCACAGTTTTTATATATATAAAAAAAAAAAATTTACTAATTTTTTACCCTTAACTCCTAAAATATAGACTCTTCTGTAGGGCATACAATAATTTAAAGAACAATTAAGGCAATTAAACACAATCAGATTAAAAAGCTAAATAATTCAGAAATAAACAAAATTTGCAGCTGAGTATCATGCACACAAGCGTTATGTGAAAAATACAAAACATAGCCCCTTTGAGTAATATTTTATGGAACTAAAAAATAAACACACAGATGGAAAACTAGCTACAAACTTTGAAGCACAATCTAGCATGATGATGTAAAGGCATCAATTAGGTGGCGAAACACTGCTAATGGCATGATGGAAAGTGTTGCCTAACGCTCTTGTTGTCTGGTTAACCTGCAAGTATGCCCATCAGGGACATTTCAGCAATGCTACAACAACCTCCCACCCTATAGTTATGTTTGTGTTATTCAATCTTGCAGAATCACCATCTCCAGGCTCTCACCCTCTCCCTGCAAGACATGACTCAAACATCTCATCTTCCTCTGCTCTGCCTGTCTAAAGAGAATCCATTATAAGTCCAGGTGTTGAAAAAAACAGATATTATTAAGTACGCGGCAAACCAATGCATATAGGTGTATGTGCTTGTGCACAGTACCTATATCTTCCTACTATTTTCTTGAGCATTATGATCAAACTGGGGTGCCAGAAAAAGTATAATATGTAATTCTCCTTGGTGATGACCTTCAAAGGTTCTTTTCTCCCCTTGATTGGCATGCATCTCCATGGGAAATCATTATAATAGACCCCTATTTCTCTACCTACACTGTCAGGAGCTGCTAAAACTATACTTCATTTACCCTGCTATACCTCACTATTGCACCATAGGTAGCATGTATGATCACCCAGAGTTCTGATGTTGTGTTAGATCTAGAAAGCAGTTAAAGCAGTGACAGACACTTCTTCCTTCCTTTTGTCAAGACCTTAATAGCACTTTCTCTTTCCTGTATGAAATCCATACCATTTTCCGTCCCTCTCTTGCATGGCAGGTAAAGGCGGGGACTTAGATAAAGTAAAGGTACTTATTTTTGTCTTAGTTCCAGAAGACACATTTTATTTTAAATATATACATCTAACGTGTGCAGTAAACACTCTTGCATGCAGTTCAAGATTGACATACCTATGTTTATATAAATCTACCTGCCCCACAAGATATATATATATATATGTGTGTGTACATATATAAAGGACACATACATAATCTTTTTTTAAATCCATAAATGTTTACAAATCTCTAATTCAGTAGGTGCTGTGCTTCTTAAAATGCATGTGCCACCAAAATAGCCTTTGGTTTTATCATGGCTATTTTTTTGTATTACTCTAAACAGGAGATGCATGCACCTAATAATGGGGAAGATGGCATAATCATTTTACCTTTTCAGCATGTTCAAAGTCTCACAAAGCAAATGTTGATTCTCATTCATTGTCAAGTACCTGATGATTGTTGACTGCAAAAACTTTATAATGGAAATTTTCCTTTCAGTGCATCACCAAGAGTTTGCACTTGCATAACAAATAATTTAAGAGCCTACCTTGAAACTAAACATTGGCTAAAATGTTGAGTGCAGAACAGATCATTACTTTCATATTATTTGTTTGGTAGTGCTCAGCCTTGAGCCTTCTGAGAACAGAAGGAAAATCTATCCCTATCTCATTTGAGGGCTTGATCCAGTACCAAAGACACTGAACATTGTACTTCTACAAAGACAAGCAAATATTCTGCATGAGATTGAGCTGTATTAAGTTATTTTGCTCAAAAATCAACATAACTGTCATCTTCCTTTCATTGGTCCAAGTCCATTTCATAACTTATTTAGTTGCATCTACTTCAACCAAATTCCCCCTGCTCAGAGCTAAACATGTGGAGGAATCACAGACCAGAGCACAGCTGCACCTTCTGTGGCAAGGGTGACACCTATCCTGTCCTAATGTGTGGATCGTTGTTTCAGGGAGGTGAGGCTGTCAATGTACAGGCCCACAAGTCTACATCTTCCCATATTCTTTCTCCTCCACCTAAAAATAAGTTGTCACAGTTCAGCTTTTGCTTAAAAGCTTGCAACCAGTCTCAGTTCCATACACATCAACTCTTCCTTAGCAAAACAAGCAGCTTGAACTCAATTATTTGCAATCACAGAGCTTCTGTGAAGCGTTTTACCCTGAACCAGAAGATGGAAGTGTTTGTGATCAGAAACTTCAGGGTTTTCCTCTTTCCTCTGGTCCCTGAAAGTACAGGATGTAGAAAGGTTACAGATACAGATTAATAGGAGCTACCAAAATTTTTGAAAGTATTACCTACTTACATACCTAAAACCCCCTAACAAATTTAGCACATTTACCTTTTCTTCTTTCTTGCCTTTCTTATGTAAATGACAAGATAAATAACTTGCTTTTACAAAGTAGTCCAAAAACTTACAAGTCAAAGGTTCAGTTAAATGCATCCAAAAAACACTGCCAAAATGTGACCTGCTACTAACCAACATGACTATTTCTCTAATTTTCACTCATGTTGAATAACAATTACCCAAATGGGATCCCGTGGAAGAGTCAATCTCCATGTGAGATGTGAAGGATCAGAGTCCAAGTAGCAAAACATATATTTAAATGGGCTGTTAATCTTCAGGTTAATTAATGCCATTCTAGGTTTATTCTACCAATATTTCATTCTAGTTCATCCTAGTCCTATTTTATTTCCCATAAGAACCTTAATATTTGGGGTTATTTTTATTATGAAATTTCAGTCTCCCAGTGGCCTAGTATTAATTACTCTGATAGAGTTAAGGCTTGATTTACACCAGTGGCTACTTTTTGTGAGCATAAACACTAGAACGTTTTGATAAAATTAAAACTGTCATTGACTTGTGAGCTGGTAAGATTTAACAAGCATGAACAATATTGCCAAAGAGAATTGAAGCCTTTTTTTCTATTTCATTCAATGAAGTGGCATCTTTATCTGTAGGTTTTTACTTCATTCATTTTTATTTTTGTACTTTTGGTGTATTCTTATTTTAAAACAAAACCGCAGACCCTCCTAAATGTTAAAAAACACAAGGATAAACCCAGGAAGCACTCCAGATACATCTACAGTAGCATAAGACCTGTTCTTCCCGCCCCAATCCCCTTATAATTGGTTATGATGTTCAATATAAGGGATAAATGAGTGCCCCTCTCCTGCTTGCTCACAGTATGGCACAAAACCCTGAAAGGGTTAATTGGCATTTTAAGAAAAGGTAATTGTAAAGCTATCTGCTGGGGTTATCCCCAGAATTGGGGGGGTGGTGCATAGGTCTCCCACCCACTGAAGCATCTCACATCTTGAAGAGCATGCTGAAGACAAAAGCAGTACTACTGCTGTTTCTTGATTTTCACTTTCAGCTCTAACTGCTAACCCCCAATGTGCTCTTTTGAGTTTACTATATCAAGCTAGTACTTACAGCAGAGTATATGTACTGTGTCTTGACTGTAAAATTATACTGACATTGTAAGCATAAATATAAATCTGTGTGTGTTTAAATCATACATAATTTACTGCCAGATTTATTGGTCACAGTGAAGCACACTGACTGGAGTGGGTGCTCTAAAAAAAAAAAAAAATTGGATGGAGAGACTGGCTACAATTTTATACTTTTTAAATAAACCAAACATTTTGCTGAGTAAAATATATAACCCAGCATATAAAAAGAAACGTTGTTTTAAGTAGTGAAAAGTCAAACTGAATCTGAGCAAGGTCATAGGTGGCCATTTTCTTACCATATCAAACCCTCTGCCAGTTGTTTGTAGATGCTCATAACATTTTTATCCTCTTAAAATACATATTTGGCATTCACTTTTGCCAATTGAAACTTTTTCCCTGATGTTCTTCTAATGCATTCCAGTGAGTAAAGAAAAGTCATATACACTGGAACACATAGGAGACACTTTCCTTCTAGCTTTGGACTGACAAATATTCAAGAGCTAGCACTAATTTGGGGTTTTATTCAAGCAACATTTTTCTGAGCACGAGCTGATTCCCATATTACTTTTCTTTGGATCTTGGCTTTATGTATTCAATTTGCAAAAGGCAGAGCTCCTGCATGTTTTTGTATAATGTTATCCATGACAGTGTACAGAAAAAGGGGTGACTTTACCCCTTTAGCCCTAGATTCATCAACCTCTGCAATCAGAAAATCCTCCCTTAATGCCCTGTTCCCACTGAGATTATGCCTATAACATGCAAGCTATAGAAATTCTTACTGTGAGGATGATGGAAGAATGTGATCCCATATATTTTCTACTCACATTTATGACTAAATTCACTACCTTCTCTCTTTTGATAAAATCAATGGAACTATTTGCATAAGTATATGGCAGTAAAGGAAGGTTGCACACCTATTCATTAAGTATCTTAAATTTTCAGCATAAGAATTTCCTAAAAAAACAAACCTATTCCACCCCTCTGTTCTAACC